GATGTTTTGCATCTGTCTTAGTCCCCACTCATGATGCATTGCTACCTTCTAAAACTTGAGACCATGCAACTGTTTACAGTTTTCTTTCTTTCTTTCCTTCCTTCCTTCTTTCTTTCTGTACTGGGAATTGAATCCAGAGGTGCTTTTACCATTAAGCCACATTCCCAGCCCTTTTATTTCTTTATTTTTTATTTTTCAATATTTATATAGAAATGTTTTCTAGATTTAAAAACTTGTACAAATAAAATACCCTGTATGATTGACAAGGCCAAATAATTCGAGTAATAAGCAGAATACTTGGGAAGTTCTGTTACTTTGAATACATTGTAAAACTGGTCAAAATGAGATATTATTACATTAGATAATTTCAGAATCCAGAAATTCTGCCAGTGTCTCTCATTATGACTGTCTAATATAGCAGAAGTAACACAAAACTAGATGAATATGAGTTGATACAACTTGGAGACTTGTAGGTATTTGAATCTGAGCATTTCTTTGTAGTGTACTTGGTGGTAAGATAACTCAGATTTCTTTTTTTTTTTAAAAAAAATTTTAAAAATATTTTTTAGTTGTAAATGGACACAATACCTTTAATTATTTATCTTTATGTGGTGTTAAGAGTTGAACCAGTTCCCCACCCGTGCTAGGTGAGTGCTCTACCATGAGCCACAACTCCAACCCCTAACTCACATTTCTTTAGGATGAGTTAGTCTGTTGCTTATCACAGGAGCAATGTAGGCTGAAGGGAGAACACAGAGATCCAGTTCTGTTGTGATGTACACTTAACCACTGCCCCCATTTCTTTTTTTTTTAAAAAAATTTTTAAAAATATTTTTTAGTTGTAAATGGACACAATACCTTTAATTATTTATCTTTATGTGGTGTTAAGAGTCGAACCCAGTTCCCCACCTGTGCTAGGTGAGTGCTCTACCATGAGCCACAACTCCAACCCCTAACTCAGGTTTCTTTAGGATGAGTTAGTCTGTTGCTTATCACAGGAGCAATGTAGGCTGAAGGGAGGACACAGAGATCCAGTTCTGTTGTGATGTACACTTAACCACTGCCCCCCCCCTTTTTTTTTTGGTACTGGGGATTGAACGGGGTTCTTGACCACTGAGCCACATCCCCAGCCCTATTTTGTATTTTATTTAGAGACAGGGGCTCACTGAGTTGCTTAGTGCCTCACCATTGCTGAGGCTGTCTTTGAACTTGAAGTCCTCCTGTCTCGGCCTCCCGAGCCACTAGGATTACAGGTATACGCCACTGCACCTGGCTTTCACCCCATTTTTGACTGCCCTCTTAGTACTAGATCAAGATGTAAAATCTGTTTTTGCTGCCTGTAACTAGAAATAGCTATATGTGATAATCAAGTGAAGTCGTTAGGGCCTAATTATTCGGTAATACAATGCTCATTACTTAACATGTACAGAAAATAACTTTGGCTTTTATATGAAAGTATACTTTGAGAGGTGGAATTAGAATGAAGAATTGCCTTAATTAAAACTAGGAGTATCGTAGTGCAACAACATGGTTTTTGTAGCCCAAATATAAGATGGA